AAAAAATCATAAATTACTTCATTAGTACAATAGAATTCCACTATAATTTATCAAGCTTAGTAAGTAAGATGTATTTTAGTAAAAAAAAAATATAAAATTTTGAGCAGACTAAAGACACACCCTACCAAGTTGAAATATTGGTTCAAAAGAAAGAAATGCCACCAAGCCTGTTAAAATGACTGAGAAAGCCACTAGGAGGACATTTTGAGCTTCCAATTGGTTATTCATGTTATATATTGAAGTAAGTGTATATAAGGGAGCATTTCCAAAAATGGAAAGAGGTGGGCGGGGTGCCACTGTGTTTGATTAATTACATGAGCAATATCTTAGCAAATTGAAAAGATAAGAGGCTCTTATTTTATACTCTAGCTTGTCAATATCAGTAATATGAGTTTCTAATTCGTACGAAACTATAGACTTAGTATTTTGACTTCACAAACATAATTTAAACCAGTGCTGCATTCAACATGCCACATGACACAGAAAAATCAATTTTTATCTGTGTTTTCTTAATATTTGCTTTTAAATTAAGAAATTGAGTAATGTATAGTACTAAAAGATGAATTATAATCTACAGTTTGATACCAAACTTATTGACATAAATTCCTGAAATAGTAGTTCAATAAAATTTTGAATTTGAGTCAACAAATGAGATGATATGGTCTTTCACCCGTGACCCATCTCAAAATGGTTAAGCCATCCAAACAGTGTGCTGTTGCTAGTGGAAGGGCAAACAGGATTTTAGGTTGTATCTACAGAAATATTTAATACAAGCTTAAAGAGGTTACAATTTCATTTTATAGGTCACTGGTTAGGCCACTTTTGGAGTATATATGTTCAGTTTTGGGCTCCTTACTTTAGGAAGGACATTGAATTGTTGGAAAGGTTTCAAAGGACGGCTACTTGAATAGTGCCTGTGATGGAGGGGTTGTCATATGAGGAGAGGTTAAGACCTTTGAAATTGTTTTCTCTTGAAAAAAGAGGAGTTGATTGAGGTGTTTAAGATTGTTAAGATAATTGATAGTGCTGATGCATCATCTTTTTCATACTTAATTGTGAGAATGTTAGGACTGGGGGACACAAATATATATTTTGGCAGTGTAGGTGTCATCTTCAGGGTGGTTGGCCTTTGGAATGGATTGTCTTAAGATGTTGTGGAGGCAGTAAATTTAATTGAGTTTACGAGAAAGCTTGATAACTAAATGAATGACAAGGGCTGCCTTTGAGGTATTATTATTGTTATTTTTTATTTGATAGTTTTAGTTTAGAGGTTGGGACAGCCCAGATAGACCAACGGGTCTGTTGTTGTCCCTAAACATTATGTTATGTTCAGAAAAAAACAAAACGGTAAAATTCATACCATCTCTTTGTTGAGCTTCTTTAAGGTTTTAGAATAAATCTCGTTAGAGCTGAGAGTAATATTAGGTAATAATATCTATTTTGCATTCTCTAGTTCTGTATTTAGTTAGGTTTCAAAATCAAAATTCTAGTTTAATGAAAAATAATTTACAGAGAGGATTTACTTTCAAATCACTTGTTCCAATCATGTCATATTATAATTACATTGAAGTAGGATAATCATATTGAAAATTCACTTTTTTTTCATTAGTAAATCATATTTTTAACTTGTATGTATATCATGCCATAAAATCATTATACATGACGAAAATTAAAAATATTCTTAATTTTGTATTTTAACTATGTTTTAAATTTTAAATAGTTTAAAAACTTAACATGAAAGTGAAATAATAAATAAATTATTTCCGTAAATCATGTACCTGTTATGGATAGGATGAAATTCAGTCTCGAGGACCTGGGACTTTTGTGCCCTTAGCTGAAGATACAGCAGGAGAACAAGGCAGCAGTGGTTCAGGAGGTGAAGGAGGTGGGGATGGAAATGGAGATGAATCTGGTGAAGCACAAGATGAGGAATCATCTTCATCAAATACACTGGTAACTATGGAAACTGAACTGGAGAACTTCAGACAAGAGTGGAGAAGAGAGCTAGAAGAATCACCCCAATTTGATGCTTCAGTGGGAGCTAGCAGGGGGAATACTGCAGAACTGAGTGAAAGTCACAAGGAAGAGATAGTAGAAGAAAAGGTGAGTACACTGGTTGCATTTTATCATTATTCAGAAAAATACAACTATGTAAACTGAAATTTTTCTCAATTTAGTCATTTGGAAATAAATGTTAGTGTTCCAGTTTGTGATTTAATTTGGTGAAAGTTCTTATTCATTACAATTAAATGATATTATAATGTTTACACTAGTTATATATGTAACTGTGTTCCACACATGCATGCTTGCAGCTGAGCACATTTATATAATTTGTGTATCAGTCAGCAGCTGTTTTTACATGTTTTCATGCTTAAAGCACTTTTTAAATTTCTCTGTATGTGTGTTTGTATCATTTTGTACAAACAGGAATAAAAAATGTTTTAGGTTGACTTGAATAAACAAAATAAACCTAATTTTAACTTAAGCCACATACTTTATACATATGTGTGTGTCTGTTCCTTTGCCAAGAGAACTAAGTAGATAGGTTTAGTAGACTTTACGTTCACACCATTCTACTTGAGAGTCGGCTTTTGAATATACTGTATAAAAACAACATTGGAATTTGTTAAACTTTTAATTGTATGTTTGGGTATAAATGCTTTAGATATAATACCAAATTTTTAACTGGTGCATTGTCAATGAGATTGTTTATGAACAAATATTATTAGTTTAGTAGATGTTGCTTATACTGGCATGTGGTGTACTGATACAAAGATTATTTTAATGTGAATAATCTTGTTCTGCCATCTATGTGCTCACATTTTTGCTCTCTACAAGACTTGATACTTCCACTTACCCTCACATGTTTTCACATGAGGCAGCTGTGTGATAGCAGGCAAATGAGCATGTCACAACCCACCACCAATGGGAATGTGACACAACTCCCAGCACAACTGACTTCCTCTATGCATCTTAGCCCAAAATCACTTCTTGATTGGCACTTTTGGTGTTAAGATGTGTTTTTCTTGCACTTTATGAAATTTTTAATCAGTTCCTTGTTGTTTTTTTTACAAGAATTTAGTTTTTATTTTTGTTTGCTACGCTTATGTTCTGAAATTTTAGTCGTACACTGTAGCATTATTTGTCTTTTATTTAAATACATGATTGTTTGGAGCTATCTGTTTGGTCTTTTCTCTTTCTACTCTTAGTTGAAATGCATTTGGATTTTCACATTATTACTGCTACCACTGCTATTCCTACTACAGTTACCCTTACTAAACCAAAAAAGACGTGGCTTTGGGTCCACAATTGTCAGTAGGAGATTTCATGGCCTGGGTTCGCCGGGAGTTGGCTACCTTTGTGCGGGCTCCTGATTCACCTGCAGATTCTCTTCTCATTCCTTGTTCAGGGGTACCAGAACAAGAGGACATGGATTTTGACAGCCTGTTGCCTCCCTCTTTCTCTGCCACACTGTTATGTTTAGCTCCAGTGGCAATACCCAGGCCTCCTCCTCCTTTCGTGGAGTTAATAAACTAAGTATGTTATGTTTTACCTTTGTCTTCCTCTTTCCTTTTGAGTATGACACTTTTGGGGTTCATGCATATAGGTTTGCGGAATAATTACATTTGGGGACCAGTATGTCTTGATCCCCATTTCATATGGCATCCCATGCTATGACTTCCCCATAGGTCTGTGTTTCCTTTCTTGAACTCCCAGTAGTTGTATTCTCTTATGCTTCTGTGGGGTTTTGGTCCCAATACTTCGGTAATGTTTTCCCAACCTCTTTTTTTCCTGTATCCATATCACTTTATTCTCCCTCCTTCATTCCATTTCCTCATTGGCTTCTTGCTTGTCCTCCTGAACCTGTTCCTGTGTCCCATCCTCCTCCTCTCCCTCCTTTACCAGTGCCTGCTACACTGGTCTCTGAGGTTAACCATTGGTATGCTTGTCAAAGGCTTTGGCATTCCAGCAGTTTTGGTGACTATGTGAGGGATACAGGTCTGGTAAGGGCCAGGGTTTTGTGCTGTACCACTGTTTGGGATTCCTTCACAACAGACCCTTGGGTTCTTTGTGAAGGGTTCATTCTTTTTGTTTCAGTTCTCCTCCTCATTGTTCTCTCTAGCACATTTCTGAGGCAGTTCTAGATCTTTTTCACAAGGGTGCTATAGAACAGAGGGGTCCTTTCCAGCCTGGTTTCTACTCCTATTTTTTTATAGCCCCCACAAAGATCAGGGATAATCAACTCGTCATCGATCTCTCTTCATTGAACTGCTTCCTATACTTTCCTTGATTCACCATGGAGTCCTACATATCTCTGTGATGGGATTTCTCACCAGGTCTTTGTTAGACAAAGCTGGTTGTCTCGATTGCTTATCTCCACATTTCCATCTCCCTAGAAACCTGGCATTTTCTTCATTTTGTCCATCAGGGCTACATCTGATAGTTCTGGGCTCTTCCATTTGGACTGGCTTCGGCTTTCTACATTTTATTTCAGGTGGTTAAGGCCTTTGGCTATCTTCTCCATTCCCGAGGCATTTTTTTTCCACCATTAGATGGATGACTGGCTACTTCTAGCTCCTTTGCAGGCCACCTCTTCCCTTCACACTCAGTCTCTCCTTCAAGAAACTGCAGGGTTGGTTGGCTGGTCTAGGTGGAGAAGTCATTATTCTCCCCCACTCAATACCTTGTGCATCTTCTGGTATTTTTCACCTGTGATCTATGGAGATTCTGGTTTGGACCATTTTCTCCTCTCCATCTCTAACTGCAGGAGAGGTATTGTGTCTTTCAAGGACGTGAGCTCCTTTGGAGGCCCTCAATCCTCCTGGTCGAGCCCACATTTGACCTCTTCAGTGGGTGTTCCTCTTGCTCCTCCTTGTTCGCAGGTGCATCTCTTCACAGATGCTTCTCTTTCTAGGTTGGGTGTGTATCTGGACAAGTAGGAGATTTTGGGCCATTGGTTTGTTGTGGAGTCATCTCTGCATATCAATCTCTTGGAAATGCTTGCTGTCCATTAGGCTTTGGTTCACTTCCTTTGATCTCTCTGGAACCTGTTGGTTATGATCCATTCCAACTACTCAATGGTTGTCTCATACATCACTCAGTAAGGGGGCACTCCTTCGGAATCTCTGTTCCACACGTTGAACCTCCTGTTTTGGGCCAATAGCCATCACATTGAATTGTTTGCATGTCATATAATGGATGTTCTGAACCTAATCATGGATTGTTTATCATGCCCAGACAATATTCTCCCCCATGGAGTGGTACCTTGACACTGCTCCCTTCAGTGATTCCCGTTTATTCACTGGTACCATTCCCTTTCCCATGATGCTTCTCCTGTTACCCTTAAGGGTTGGATTTGCCTGGCTTATTCTTCCCTGTTTCTATTCCAAGTCTTCTCCCATCCAATCTGTCATCTTAACATCTTTCTGGCTGCTCAATTCTGTCATACAGTAGAGGATATAGTTCGTGCCAGCATGTGGACCAATCCCCATACATTTATTTCACATTGTTTTCATTGTATGGCCATTTTCTGCTCTGCAGGTTACTGTGTACCACCTATTGCTGTCTTGAGCTCCACGGTTTCTTTATGAATTGGTAGGCACTCTTTTTTTCTTCTTTACATGGACATTTGTTGCATATATGGATCACACTCAGTGGCAAGTGTTGCTTGACCAGGTATACTTATTCTCAGACCCACACTATACGACCATTCAGGTCAATAATGCACACCATAGAGATGGGATATCCTGCAAGATTGCTTCATTTGACTGAATCAGGAAAGGTCTGCCTTTCAAAATAGGGTTTTGTTGTCATCCGTTGCACTGTCTCTGGTGCTGTGTTCCTCTGGACTCTCCTAACCCTACCCCCCCCCCCTGTTTCCAGTGGAGTATGGGAGTTCTTACCCTTACCAGCTCCTAGCCACTGGGGGTGGTGGATCATAGAAGCTTCTTCTTGAGTGTGCTCGAATCCACTCAGTTAGGAGTAGAGCAGTGGCGTTCTGCCAGTGTAGATGTTGTATGTACCCTGAACCTGATGTACTATTCCAGATGCCACCTGGTTATGGGTTGAACAATTTCCCCAAAATGCAGTTCACCCCTCCTTCCTACTGTTGCCTGGATGTCAGTTCCTGGGGTTTACTGGTGTTGGTTGGAGCTGGACCAGCCACATAAGTCCTCACGTGTGAGTGGCCCAGGTACCGTTCTTCTTCTGTGGACTGGAATATTCATTCCCAATGCCACCTGGTTCTGAACTTGAGTTAAACCACCATATTGCTGTCTGTCTTCCTACTGTCATCTGGATGTCGGTTCTAGGGGGGGGGGGGTACTGGTATTGGTTGTGTTGGACATACACACATAATAATGTGGGTCCTTGGAATGGAAGATCTTTTTCTCTTGAAGTTCCCTCGTTTGCGGTTAACTGTGAAAGACTTTTCCTACCATGGGCTGGATATTCCTATCATGGTTCTGTTGGTGTTGGTTGAGGTTTAACTCTCCTTTATGGTCTGCCATTCCCTATCCACTCTACATCAGATGTGGTCCCTCCTATGTTTCTGCCCTTATTGCGACAAATAATTTTGCATAGGCAAAGAGTATACCTAGCTCAGAAGTGGTGCAGTCTCTTATGGGTACATCTTATATACTCTTCATTCACACACACCCCATGGACTTCTTTTCATGCTTTCTGAAAGGGTTTATCTTGGTAATGTTACACTAGTTTATCCACCAGGTCAGTGTGTGATTCTATCTATTCTGTGAGTAGAGGTAAGAATTTATGGGAAATACATTTCAGTGTAGGAAAAATGTTAACTTTTCTGACTGACAGAAAATGTATAATATTATCAGTGAGCAAATGGCATTTCTAAGATTGTAGAACAATGAAATATTTTTGTCATTTTGTCTGTAGATGTGAAGTATGTAATTAACAGAGATAATGTTTGAGCTTTGAAAAGGTGAACGATTGACTACATAAAACCTGAATGTGTGCATTCTTTGAATAAAAGGTATTATAACATTGTGTTTGCAAACAACCTTTTGCAAGCACACTGCATGCATACTTTAAGTCTACCAAACAAATGTGGGTTCATGATAAATGAAAGAAACATATGTTCCTGTAATAAAATTTAAAGAGAAATTGTTGTTGGCATATTGTCCATTACAAAAAATCAAAATTATTAAAGTTACTATTTGGGTATCTAAGTGTATTAATAAGCAACTGATTTGTTAGTTTAAACCCTCCATTTTGGCTGTTAATCTGCTTCCATCTTCTAATCTTTTGGGAAGTCTTGAGTACTGTATGTGATGGCAGGATTTGGGTCTTGTTAGGAAGGCTTTTGTTCTTTAAACTGTCTAGGGTGTGACTATATCCAGTTCTTCATAGGAGTTCCTTGAAGATGATAACAGACTGACAATTAAAATGCAGAATCTAAGGAAATAGTAGCTTATTAATAATTAGCCATAGGTATTTGAACATTGTAGAGGCTACTAAATATGAAAATTATTGAATATCCAATAGACACATCCTTTAAAATACATAGTTACAGATACTGTGTTCAGCTACAGAGTACAAAAGTATTATATGAATACTTTGTTATTTTGTTTTTATAAACTGACCAATCATAACTGATTAAGTTACATAAACTGATAGAAGACGTTGATGCAGATGTAGTCATAATAACTGATTCTGTAATTCTGACCTTTCTTTTTTTATGATAAATAACCCCCTAAGAAGTTAAAATAGTGGAATAGCATTGTATGACGTTTTCTATGAAACTTTATTAAAAGTTACTGTTATAGGGAAGAAATTGTTTAAAATATAGATAAAACATTTTGTTAAAAATTTATAATAAAGTAAAATCATAGAATTGTGTGTTTTGTGAAATAAAGTTTATTGTAAAATGGGCTAAATGGTTATTTTTCACTCAAGTTATTGGGCTAATTCATTGTTTTTCATTCAGTCACTTTCAAAATGTTGTATTTCTGTGTTGTGAAGATTGCAAGCAGTTCTGATCTGTATCAAATCAAGTTTTAATCTATATTGTTCTTACATCAGATGTTTTTTCCTCTTTAAGGCTCGAAGGTATTTTTTACAAGGGATTAATGCTGAGCAGTCAGGAAGGCTTTATGAAGGTATGATATGTAATTGCAGCAATTTTATCTATTAATAAACATTTATAGCATACATGATTTTCAATTTAATTAGGTCATTACCAACAAGGCTTGATGGTTAGGGAACTTGACTTGCAATCTGCAAGTTGTGGGATCAAACCCCATCACTGAACATGCTCTCCCTTTTAACGTTGGAAGCATTGTAATGTGATGTTCAATCCCATTGATCATATGTTAAGAATTGGTAGTGGATGGTGTTGAATAGCTGCTTTTCCTCTAGTATATCGCCTTAAAATTAGGGATGGCTAACACAGAGAGTCCTCAAGTAGTTTTGCACAAAATTCAACACACACACACGCATATTTACATATAGATATTGAGATCTCATTGTGCATTGATAGCTCAGTGATAATGAGAAAGATGAACATTATTGTGATAAGATGGTTTCCAAAATTGTTTTTTGTAGTGGTTACAATACAAACATTGTAATGTGTGCCACATAATGATCACTAGTTATCTTTGGTATCAAAATAATTGGTAAGATGAAAAACTTAGAGTACACTGTGAATAAATTTTTGTTAGACTCTCAAACCAATAAAACCATTTTTTATTTTGACAAAAAGTATTTGTTTTTATTTCACAAAATACTTATGACTTATTTTGGTATATTTAATACTACTGTTCTTTTCTTCTTTTATTATTGGTTCAGTTTAATTTTGCAAGTTTAGTCATCCTGTTGCATTAATGTATTTTTATTTGTTTGTTTTAAATAATAATTTTGTACCTCATTTTGATTCTATAAAATGAAATATTTTGTGATAAACATGTTAATGGAACATCATCAGATTTTTGTATAAATACATAAAACGTTGATGTGATGAAAAACCTAAAATCATTAATTTAATTGTATTGCATTAATTCAACAAAAGTTTAAACTTTCATACTAAAGAGAAAACAAAAAATGCAGGTATAATATTAGTATTACATAAAGTTAGTAAATCATTTTAGATTGACTGCTAAACATAGCACCTTGTCAAAAAACATGAAATATTTGTTTAAAGGATGGCCTCAGAAGAATATTTTTAGGGCCACCATGATGGTAATCATGGGGTTGAAGATTTAATGTTTTCTTGGTGATGATAGAAACATATTTAATATTATGTTACTTTGTAATTGTAGTGCATTTTTTGCTATAGTTTTACAAGTCTATTTTTTAATAATTATAATTATTTTAAAATTGATTTTTTATTTTTGACCTGATGAAATGTTATTGAAGTTCAAAAAATTAAAAGGCACCTAATAAGTTTTTGCCAAGTGTTACTATTTCTGCAAGTAAATAGAATTGTAAGTATGTAAGGATTAGAAAGAAACTTTGAAAAGAAGGAATACAGGACAGTGTGTTAGAAATGTTTGCTTTATTTCATTTAAGACCAATTTCAAAACAGTGTGGATAGGTGGACTCAATTGCTCTTAACTTTCCATTTTAAAAGCATGATCTAAGTACAGGGTGGTTATAAAGTCAGGGTATTAGGAACTGTCTGTAGGACTAACTTTATAACATGTGGATCCTGGAAGTTACACAAAAGTAAAGCCGCTATAGCAACTGTTAAATATTGCCACTGTTATTTTTGATTATTCTAACAAAGTTGTTGGATACTGAAACACATGATGTTTCTTTTGATATTGCCTGAGCCTGTGTCAGTTGAGTAATGTTTGCCAGGTTATAGTGAAAGACCCACATCTTCATTAGTTATCAGGAACAAGGAAGTAGAGTGTCCAGACACGATGAAAGTGTTTCCTGAGGACTTTGTAACCAGTCTGCTTACAGTAAAAATTGAGCATTGCTCAGATCTTGTGTCATGCATAGCACACCCAGAGTGTTGACTCAGTATTGCAGCAATTTTAATGGTAAAATTTCACCATCATTTATTCTTAAAAACTTAACATCTTGTTGTGCTTTTCACTACTGTTGACAGAATGGCACTCATCTGTTCCATACTATGCTAGTATATACCAGCATAATTTTCATACTTGATACCTATTGGTGCCATTCCCAGAAATCAGGGGAATACAAAGTATGATTCATTGTACTAGAGCCCTCATTGGCACAGTAATATAAACAAGATTATTAAAAAAAGCATGTAAGTAAATTTTAGTGTTTAAATTAATAATAAGTGAACACAATCCCATTCTGTTGTTATGTTTATCAGTATGTGAACTTGTATTTATATCAGTACTAATAATTTTTAAAAAGTTAAATGGTATATATATACATGAATACATAAATGATATAAAAATAAATCACTTTCTAGTTGGCACTATTTGAGATTCTACCTTATCTCATATGCAGCTTTTAAAACAGTTGTCCCTTTACTCCAATTTTCTGTGTTTTAGCAGTACTTTCCATACAATTCTGAATATATGCACTGTACATGTGGATTGTTATTTCATTTTAAATTTAAAAATGTTTTATTTATTTTTTTCTAATTTCAGAAACTTGCAAAGATTTGGCAGCTTAGACTGTTTAAAATGAATTTTTATTAATCTTTCAATTTAAAATTACACAATGTTGAAAATGAAAGTGTAATAGTATCATTAAGCCTAAAAACTTTAGGTGTTCACATTCTTTTTCATAGAGTACCTAATATTTCTTGGAATGTTATATAAAATTGTGCTTGCTTATTCACATTTTACAGAATCTTTGCTATTTTGTTACACCTGGAATAAAATTCTGTGATTATAAACTTCTCATGATTTTTCAGCTATATCATTCTACAGACGAGCTGTTCAGCTTGTTCCAGACATTGAATTTAAGATGTTTGACAACTCTGGAAAGATGCAAACTGGTGAGATTTTTGTATTTTGAAAGCTCTCTAACTATTTTTTTGCTTATTTAACTGAATGTGCATGAGATCAGTCCATTATTGTATAAGTAATGTTGACAATAATTTCAAATTTGTGATGTACCTTCACAAAATGTGGTAAGCTTTTAGTCAACCCTAAAGTCTGCTTTATACAAAAAACAAATCAGATGTTTTACTAATGTTTTTGTACTGAAAATATGCCTGTGAAATGCTGAAGTCTGTTTGACAAGTCAAAGTGCAAGGTGATGTTCATGGGAAGAATAAAATCACTTTTGTTCATTGTACAGTTTGAAAATTGCATTTGCATAACCTCTGCAACCTTCTAAATATATATCTTAGTTTTTTTCAGTATCCCTTTATATTGTATCTGGTATTTTCTCTAACACATACTGTTACAAAACCAGCAGTGTTAGATAAGATTAAATATTGATAACTCTGCCATCAAATATTTAATACTATGTTGATTGGCACTCTGTATAAGGTCAAGGCAAGGACACTTTGACCCATGCACTTTGGGTTAATTGGTGTTCTGTATTGACCAGTTTTCATTTTGAAAGCCATATGATACTCCTTAAAAGATCTATAAATTTGTGAAAACTGTAACAATCACTAGATTTTTGTTACATATCTAATGATTTATATAAATCTGTAAGAGGTTTATTAAGGTCACTTGATACAGTTTTTCAAATAATTTGAATATTTCTGTTATGTTTATTGTTATTTTACACATATAATAGGTTTACCTCCTCTTATGCTACAGCTATTGCTTGACTGCTAGGGTTTCCTTGATTTGTCCATCTAAGCATTGGTCTGAAATTTTCTCACTTGCTCCAGTCTTTTATTCTCCACTTAATTGCTCTTGTTGATATCTGTCACGCAGGGCTAATGAGAGTGGGAGGTGGCTCGGGGTCCGTTGAGGGGCCTGGCAGTGGGATATTCCAAAGCTCACTAGAAATGCATACTATTTAATCAGAAAGAACAAACACTGTGTGAGATAATCAATGTTTCTTTTGTGCATATTAATTACTCATATATTAGAGTAACCATAATATCAGCAATCGACTTCAGGAACAAAGTTCTCCAAACCAGAGATGTAACACAGGATGTAGAGGTTGAGAATATAAAAGGTCTGATTGAGAAACTCAAACATTTGAGACAGAGTTGGCATGCAATTTTGTCCGAAAGTAAGCTTGTTGTTGATAACCTTGGTATGACAACCACAATGATACTGTCAGAGAAGAGGCATAGAGTGAGGAAGAGGTTTGTGGATGAGACATCCAGCGACGACATGACAGATTTGAATCCAGAAGATTGTTTCAAGAATCATGTTTTTATGTTCTTCTGGATTGTATCATCGGAAACATGACCAGGCATTATGAAGCAGGAAGAGAGCTGGAGGCAACATTTAGTGTTTTATGGAAATACCCTGACCTGAAGGTTGAAGATATACAAGAACAAGCTAGGATTCTTTGTGATATGTTTAGTGTTGACGTGTCTGAAGACCTAGTGGATGACACTCAAAGGTGATTCATTCTGATAATCTTGGACAACAACTTCTATCACCATTTCACCTGTTGAACAGCCTCCACCATTTGAAACTGGACACCTTGTTCCCAAATATATGCATTATGCTTAGGATTTTTTGCATCTTACCAATTACCATTTCACAGGCAGAACGCTCATTCAGCACATTAAAAGGAGTAAAAAATGTACTGAGATCAACTATTTGTCAAGATCGACTAATAAGTTTAGGGAACACTGGCAGTAGAGGCTCGTCTAATAAGGAAATTGGATTTTGATGCAGTTATTGAACTGTTTGCCAGCTGTAAAGCTAGGAAAGCATATTTGGACTCAACTTTTATGTAATAATGAATATTGCTTTATATTTTATTTGTGTGACCTTATTTGTAGTGAGATTGAGACATATCTTCAGTCCAGTGGTGTTTCTTCAGAGGGCACAATAATCTGATGAAAGTTTTGCTCAAATTATGGCTTTTCTCTAGGTTGAGAAATCAAAATTAAGAAAATGAGTTTCAACAAGCCTTTGCAAAAATAAAAGGTAATAAGCAAATGCAAATATTAATTTAAAAGCTCAAGATATTACTTTCATTGCACACAAATTTTATATCATCTGTGGTATCTAAATATTTTGGATTACCATACATGCAATTGCCTATATCTTTGAAAATTTTAAATGTAAAATTACAGTGCCAGTTCAGAAAGGGAGAACATTGAGTACTGTAGTTTACAATCAAAACCAAAACCACTAATCATTTGGAATTCATCAAATCCTCCCCCTAAGATGTAAAGATGAATTTTACTTACATTTACATAACAAAAACTGTCAAAATAATCCACCCCTGGAGCAAAAGTTTTTTATTTTAATATTTTAAAGAAATGTATCAACTGTAAATCTCAATCCTTGGGTAAAAATATAAAAACGTTTTAAGTGGAATGGATTTATTGACACAGTTTTCTTTTTTACAAACCTTTGTGTCACTTTTAGATTGGCTAGAATAATCTGATATTATTTTTCCTGTTGGTTTTTGAGGCCATAACTGTTTTTGACCCAAGTTATACACTTTCGGTAATTACCACTATTGTATTCAAACTTCTGCTTGATTAAGATTGTTGGCCAGTAGAATGTTTCACAACAAAACACTTGTTGGTTGGCATGCACAACAAAAAGCTGCATTCATTTCTGTGATATGAACAATGAATTTTCTGACCAAAATAAATATGCTTTTGCAAATAAGCTTGTTCTTAAAAATGCACAATTGCAAATTTACAAAATAAATTTGAATGGGCCTTTTCATGGTTGAGAGAGTCATTTAGGCCAGCAGCCACTTCTTAAGGAAACCACTACAAAACATAATGAACAAAGTAATTGAATGAACAGAATTTCTAGTTTTTCTTCAGCCTTTGAAAATAATACAAACTCAACTTCCAATCTGTTAGTTTACGCTTCCACTTTTTTTTCCTATAAAAATTCTCTGGTTTATTTTTGAAAGCAACAAGTTTTTAATTTTAAAACTTCATTATTAATAAAATAAATAAACTATTTTTCTGATAATTATATTAATTTTTTTTGGGGGGAATAGGTTAATTTCCTTTGATTTTATAAAAAAAAAAGCCATGAGTTTTGTATGTAAGTATGTGTATAGTAATGTCATTCTGGGTAAGTTTAGACTGCTGTTTAGTTTCTTTTTATTTTAAATCTGTGCCAAGAGATTCTTTTTGACTAATTTAAAAATCTCTTTTTTTTCTTCTTCCCCTCCAGATAATGGGAGTGATACATCTGATGACAGGTAAAGGGCATAATTTTTAATGGTCATGGCTCCTTGAAGTTAAGTAACGTAACACTATGCAGTAATTTTGAAATGTTCTATTTAACTGACACTAAATCAGTATGTTTACATTGTGCAATAAAATGTTTGGCTTATTCATTTCTCCAATGGCCCTAAGTTTCTTAATTTGTTAAATAATTCCTTAAAATTTTAAACAAAAGCTCTAAAAAACACTGAGGTTATGAAACATTTTGTTTCTGGTCATCTTTTGATATTAGTTTCTGGATATACTATCAATCTTAGACATGAAGCGATCTGAAATTGTAATGTGAGCGTAGGTTAAGTTATTGAAAAATACACCACTAAACTAAATGTAGCAAAACTGTCCCAGTTTTCTCTTCAATTTGTGTTAAATTGGTATCAGACTGAAAACAGTAATAAAGTAGTTGCAACTCTTTTTTTTTTTTCCCACCATCATCAGTAATTGTGTACATAGATGGATGCACACAAAACTTGGCACTTATAATTAAACTGAATGTAAGGTATATTAAGATGTTTAACTGAAACTTATTTTCAGTTATTTCTTTATTTGTCAGTGCTGTTGAAGAAGAAGAAGATGTTTTGAATGAGGATGGTGATGTTTCTGATTTGGTGACAAAATTTAATAATCTGTCGGCTCTTTCTGGTTGTACCTTGATTTGTCAACCTGATCTAGATCAAAAGGTAGATTAACTTCTGTCTTGATGGAATATTTAAAGAAATTAAGTTGTACTTTTCAGTTTTTTTGAGTTATTGTGAGATTGATTCCCAGTTTTGTTTTTTAAAATACAATTTTATGTGTCACACTGCATTGTATTAAATACAGTCAGCAGATAAATTTATATGGCTCTTAGTAAATTGAAAGCATTCCTAAACTTCTCGTACATGACATTCCATATAAATGGTTTTGTTATACTCTAACTGGTAATACCTCTGGTATGCCATCATCAACTTTGATGTTAATTAGCATTTGGTCAGGGTCACCAATACATTCTAACCCAGGCCTTGACAAATATTTTCAGATCCAGGAGCCAGGTGTGCCTAACCTAACTTCACTACTGTTTTTACCAGAAATGGAGGGCTACACTAGTGCCTCGATTATATGTGCCTCTGTTATCCAAGATTCTCAATTACTTATAGTTTTTTCTTCTTCTCCCCAAATTTTCTAAAAATAATTGTGCGATTACAATTCTAAACAATAATTTACATATTTTGGAGAAATTGTTGTTCAGAAAATAATTTTGGTTGCAAAAGTTCAGGTGTTGCATGATATATGGTGTTTTCCCATGCAGGATCTGGTGTGCATTCAAATCGTAAGTTGGCCGGTTCAAGCCTAGCCTTGCTTCTTTTATTTTTAGTTGTTAAGACAGGAATGCAAAGTATCTGTAGCTTGGTTAATTTTATTTGATTAGTAATGAAAAACATAGTATACAAAAACAAACAAAGTACATGTTAAGATTTCTTAAAGATGATCCTCAGCTTCATTTGTCGTCTGCTGTTCTGTGCTGCAAGCCGGGCATCCTTTAACCACAGATGCATATTCAGGTTGTGTTGGGGTGTTGTGCAGTTATGCATTGTCCTCTTCCTTACAGATAATTGGTATCTTCGGTCTGTTTTAACAACGGCCTTTTCATAATAATTCCCAAGCATAGATATGCACTAATTGTTATTTTTTTTTACTTAATTTTCACAGGCGTTGATAGGGTGTGAATGCACTTCCATGTCTATTACAGAAAAAGTGCCAAAATTTAGGCACTGTTTACTTCTATATTAGCGATAAAATTCAACTTAAACGGCCAATCAAAAGAGGAAGTATTATAGGAGACAAAATGGAATTGGACTTGTGTAACTCACGAAATTTGGAGAAATTTAGCATCACAGACTAACACTTAGCTTTTTTTATTATGATTGTGAGGACTTTTATAATTTTTCATGATAATATGATTAAATGACAGTTAAAATATTATAATTTAAAACAAGGAACTTAAATATATTGAAAAATTGTATTTAGATTAAACAATGGGCTAACTAGTGAGATACACTAATGCCTCGATTATCTGCGATTTTTTTTTGCTTTCTCGGGACTACCACAAATAATTGAGGCACCAGTGTATATTTATTTACTTTCACAGCCATAAGTGTATGCTAACAATCACATGATATCAACAATCATTTTTTGATATTTGATAGTATTGCCTAAACCAACTGCCTTTGGTCCCATCTGAGTCTAAACGTGCACACTGATTGGTTGAATTGAGAGAAAGAAGAAAAACATAATGGCACTAAATTAGTAACGTGTTGTGCAACAAACATGAAGTGCTGAATCCTAGAAACAAAGTTCAATTTAGGACTTGAAGAACGTGAATATAGTTCGGAACTCCCAAGAGTCCAGAACTGTTCTAGATTCGAGTTCTATTTAGCACAGCCCTACTCACAAATAAAATTTAGAGAAAATACTAGGTGCCACGATGAAATTTGTAGTCACCATGGCAACCTGGTACCCAGGATTTGCTGAGCCCTGTTCTAACCATAATTTATTATTCTACTTTGATGTAAAAAACCCAAAAATCAACAGTAGAATTTTAACATGTACTGTGGCAGCTCTTTTTGTGTGTGTGTGTATCTTTGAAAAGATTTGATTTCAATTAAGAGTTTAGTTAAAATGTTTTCTTGCCCTATTTTGTTTAACAAATTAAGTTTTATTTTCTAAAATTCAAATTGTTAGTTAGTTTCTTTTGTGTTGTTTTTATTTTTTATTTCTTTTACCAAATCTGAACCTCATTGCATATATCGAGGTTCATGTGAAAGTAATGTACCCTCAGTAGTTAAGGCTGTTGAATATTTACTATTTTATCATAGCTTTCAAGTAGGAAAAGGTGTGAGGGGATATTGCTAACCTATTCAACTTATGTTTAAATAACTTATATTTTGGATTTTGGTGTAGATTTGGCAGTATCAACCTGACCTACAAATACTGTTCAGCTTTGGGATCTTTTATGTCCTTCTATATATTAATCCTTAACTGAGAAACATGTTCAAAACAGTTGGTGTACTGATATGTATCAGTATTGTTGTATCATCTTTACTGAAAAACCACACACATATCTGTATGTTACCAGATCACATGTGAGTGATAAGTAAGCTACAATGTCTTGTAGGTATGAGAATGCAAAACAGTATGAATTAGCTCCTAGGTTATGTTTGTAACTTGTAATTTAAATCGTGTATGAGCTGTTACTGTCAGCAAATGTTTTTAACTGTTTAGGAGTATATCAACATCCAAAAAAAATGTTTTAGTTAACTCGAGATTACACAAAATTATATGTATAATTATTACTTAAATTTTTTATTAATAATTTTAGAAATATTTAGTTGCAGTGTTATTTAGCAGTTACTAGCAATCCGAAGCTTATACAGGTTCATGTCAACAGTGCCGATACTATAGCAGGGTATAATGTTAAATTCACATCATCATAGGATTTCAGTGGTTGTTATATAAACAATTGCTTGTAAGCCTATGTGAATCATGATTAGACTAAATATTAAGTTGTGAAAATGACCATGTCCATACCACTTTAGGCAAATCTTTACACCTAATTTGTAACTTTCATTTCATTAATCTTTGGAATGGCATCAGTACATGAATAACATTATACTAAATTCTTGCTTTAAAGGCTGTAGAATAAAAGTATTTCAAATTTTATAAATAACATTTAAATATTTCTAACAGTAAAAGTTGCACAGTTCTGGTTATTTTTAGTGTGGAGATCATATTCAGAGTAAAAAAGCTTTATAAGCAAAGAATAACATGGGCAGCTTGTACTCTCTAATAGCTCAATGGTAGAGTACTAGCCTTATTAGCCAGAAGACTTGGGTTCAAGTCCCAGTGCTGGAGTTGTTGTTTGCTCCTTTTACATTTAAAATATAATGTTAAATATTTTTATTGTTTAGAAAAATTATTTGATAATCCAGAAAATGTAGAGGAAGTTCTATTCTGTATCCTTAGTAGCTTAAAATGTGTAATCTGAAACAAGAAGTATTTTCTCAGATTCCAATATCAATACGCATTAGTATGAACTGATATGGTAGTGATATGCGATAGGTCTTTCCAGATCACTTGTTTTAAGGGAAGTGCAATATTGTCATCTGCCGTATTGGACATCATTGTTTTGTGTCAATAGCAGTGACAAAGCTGAGTGAATATGCTCTGAATCTTGAAAAGAATGCCAAAATGGCTTATGAAACCTGTTGTTTTTGATCCATATATAATTACACAGGTGGCCTGGACCACTGTTTATGCTGATGACTTGTCTGATTATGGTGTGAACTCAAAACATAAGTAGTTCTCTGATTTCCTGATATTCATGTGTATCTTGTTGAGTCCATCAGTAGATTAACCCATGAAAGTATGAAATAGTATAAAAACTTGGGTAATTATAAATTCTCCTTAGCAGGATAGGTTTCAGACATAAAAGTAAGAAAGATTGTGGGTCATGTCTTTGCAGTTGCTAAGGTGATCTTTTTTGCAGCTCCTTTCTTTTTTATCTCCCTTAGTCACTACTATGAACATAAAACGTATTCTCACCAGTGTTGAGTATTACATTTTGATACTATCTGTATGCTTCTCTTTGTACAACACAGAGTATCTGACTGACCTTGGCTTAATCTAAAGACATACCTATATAATTGTAATTACATAATCACTCATTAGTGTCCATAGAATGATATGGGGCACTTATAAAATCTCGGTCATTTCAATAATTACTATATAATATTTATACACATATCTAATGACAAAGTCTAAATTGATACAAATATTACTTAGATTTATTCTGATATATTTCATAAAATATGCATTGCAGATATGGGAATACTATATAGGTTGCCAGTTTTACATCAATCCATAATGATTTCTCTTTTTGGGTTAGCTGGGAATCTCTAAAAAAGAAGACTCAGTCTTGAACTCTGTCTATTTGTTCAACTATAAGAGCAACAGTGGAAAGATATTTGCATATTTTTTTCACAGCCTAGAATATATGCGCACTATCATTCAATATGGCAGACAACAGAAGAAAAATATCATGTAATGTCGTGATGTTATGTTAGAAAGGTCTGTTGACTAAATTACGACATTAAATGCCACAGTAATATGCTTGAATTCTCAAGTGTTGAACAAATGTTCTGTAATAAGTGAGTATACATCAATTAAATTTTATTGTGAAAATAAATAACAGAGCATAAAATATGACTCATACATAGTTCACTGGACAAAATGTTTAATGATATCAAAGATTGGAGGACTGGAATGGTTTTCATTGGAAATAAATTTTACTTGCAAAATTAAAACTGTTATGATACAAGTTATTGTAATTAATTTTTTCATTAAATTGTTTTTGATAAAATCATGTGGTCATACAGTTGTAGTTTAGTCACAGTACTTAGTGATCTTAGAAGGTCTTTATTTTTTCTATAGCTTTCTATATTCTCTAGGCAGTCTGAGATTCAAGTATTTTTTTTTGTTAATTATTTGCATCTTGCATTTCTTAGCAAGATTCATTATGTTTCTCTCATTTTCATAATGGTTAGTAGCATATATGCTGACTTAAATCTAATTATTAATTAGTTTTTCTTTTATTATTACTATTATTACTAGATATTGATTATTGACTAATCTGTATCCTACATTTAATCTGCTGTCATCTTCAGGGAAGCCATGTGATGAACTGTGTTTTGTGATGGTAGTGGCTAGAATTCAGTCCTAGGCTTTCTTGAGAGAGAGGCTGGTGTGCTTTCAACTCCTCCAAGGTCTTCCTGAGTTGGATTGAAACAAATATTTGAATGCTTTCAAGAGGAGTATTCAGAATGGCAGGGATGAAGACCATACAGTGAAATGGAATGATATGAAAATGATGGGCCAAGAACCAAGTGCAAGAAGATAAAAAAGAAGCATGTTACATCCATGTAAATGATAAAATATCAATCAACCTCTTGAAAACATTCATATAGATAGATCCCAGATGAGTGAATATTACACATCTCTCTCAGGATTACTCAGGTTCTTATCCTTCCACTATTGCCACAGAACACATTCCTTCAAGAACTTTCCTGAAGACAACAGCAGAACATCAGATGTAAAATGACATTTAGAAGTTTGTAATTAATGCTTAGTAATAATAATTAGTGAAAATTTATTAATTAGGCTTAGGTGACCATTGAGTCAGCTGACTATGACATTGGCTGATATCAGCACCACAAACTTACTGTGTGCCTGCTTAATATTTCTCTTACCTTCTTTTTACTACAGTACATATAAGTTTTGTTAATTATCATAAGGTTGATGTTTTTCATAAACATATACTTAATTTTTTATTTGTATCACTTAGACTACTCATATATCTGCACTGCCAAGAGAAGTCTTCATGTACATATTGAGATGGTTGGTGTCAAGTGACTTTGATTTTCATTCATTAGAACAGGTTTCTATGGTAAGTGACTTAAGACTTGTTGGAACAGATTTGATGTTTTGTGCATATTTTTGAACTTTTATTTAGTTTCATATTTCTTTTGATTACTTTTCATCAGGATTTAAATGTTATTTTTCAGTGCAAAGTTTTATTGATACAAGATAAAACAACTGTGTTTGGGCAAAATGACTCAGACCATCCACATGGAATTCTGACTTCTTTTTCACAGAAAGTTTCTATTTTAGTCTGGCAAATATGTGCAACATAGTCAAAGAATTGTGGGTTTATATATACAAGCATGAAATTTGGCATAGTTGTAGACTATGGCCCAAAGAATATTTTTAGAAATGGAGCCATTTGTGGAAAAGGCCTATGTTACTTTTGGCAGCCATTTTTTAAAATGGCTGCCAAATATTTAGATGCCATTGAAAAATCAGCATTATATTACAGCTAAATGCACTTAAATGTTGCTATCCACAAATATATCAATCAAAAACATGATATTATTTTATCTATTATAAAAACAACAAACTATGTATATCTAAAACTTTGTAAAAAAAAAAAGAGCACTGAGTCAGCAAAATATGAAATTGTACTTATTGTATTTATTAGGTTTACAGGCAAAAATATTGAAAAGTTGTATAGGATGATGGAAAAAAAATATAAGCTGGAAATATTAATAAAATATACAAAGAATTTTAGAAGAGTGATTACTGAAAGAGGAATTGTAGGTGATGTGTGTCAAGTGTAATATATCTATGACAATTTGATGGATAGTTGCAACTGACACTGTCCAAAATGTTTCTGGTACACCAATATAATACCAATATGTTGTGCGTGATATGTCATGATTGAAAATTGAGATAAATAGACTTCCATATCGAGGTACAGATAAAAATCTAGTATTTTTTCAGACCAACAATTAATTTCACAAAAGATTCCTATGTGCAGTGGGAAAATAAAAGTCGGTGTTTATTGTACTTTTAGAGAAATTAGACGCTGTGTACTCGTAAAACCTAAAAATTAAAATAATGTTGGCCTTATCAGCATAAGTTAAAAAATATGTTGTTTTCTATTAACTCGCTAATCATTTGCTAGTGCTTCCCTTATGAGACTTTATTTTCAAAATGTATCAATTGTTATACTGATAGTATAGTATCAATGGTGTCCATTTCAGGTGTTGTGAATGCTAATAGAAGGTGGTAGCTAACTGTACATATTTATATATAGCCTGGTGTTGGTAACTTGGGACAGTGTCATAGAGTTTTCGTCTGGTCGATCCACAACAGCGTGGTCTTTCAAGAGAATAGCTGACTGGAACAAGTGCTTTTTTTGTCAACTAGTCACACAAAGTTTTACAATGTCCAGCTGGCTTGAATGTTCCGTGATGTTGGGCTGGTCAGGGTTATTCTACCCTTTTATCAAGTCTAGTGTGATTCCATGAGTTAGATGAGCTGCCTATTCCAATAAACATTCAATGACTAGATGAAGGGAATGGTGTAGAAGCCACTCTTATGGAAAACAAGGCAAAATGGCACAAACCCTGCCATACAAAGTTCACTATCACAAAACTTCAAGGAGCAATAAAAAGGAAATCAGACCAAACAGATTGTGATCCTTGTTCAGCCACATCTAGGAAGGAAACTTGTCAAACTGAGCACCTTGGAAAAGCAAATAAGGACATCTGCTTTCTGTGAGAGAAAGTGTGGACAACTGAATCTCTTCGTGAAGCATCAACATTTATTGTTGACTCTCATGTTAGAAAATGTGCATTGGAATTACAGGATGACCATCTAATTGTGAAATTCAGTGCAAGGGACATGGTGGCACAAGATGAAAAATATCATCTGATGGGAATGTGACTGTACTCGAATGCTTCACCATTCTACTGTACGACAGAATGAGCAATAAAGTGAACATAGACAAAGCTTGACAAGAATTGTTCATGAGGAAAAGATGAGCAATAGATGCACTCTCATCGACCAAAGCAGCCCTACTTCAAGATATTAAGATTGTTGCGTACTAGGGCAGGCACTGCTGGGGTAAAACGATCAAAGTTAATCTTGACATGTCTCCCCTTGACAACTGGAGATGGACTGATCCATCGAACTGGAGACCTAAGTGGACCACTTTGCCTGAAGCCAGAAATGCATCAAGAGAACTCATTCGCTGCATTTGCAAGAAAGGTTGAAGAGAGTTGCTGAACTGCATGAAAGCAGCATTAAAGTGCACTGCATTGTGTCAACCTTGTGGTTGGCTAGATTGTGATCTGTAAATTTCACAGCATCACAGCCAATGACCGTTGAAGTTTATGTTAATTTACAATTTCATATTTTGCTGACTCAGCACTTTTTTACCAAAGTTTTAGGTGTATATTACTTGTTGTGTTTATAGTAAATAAAAGAGGATCATGTTTTTGATTTAAATATTTGTGTAATTTTAAAATGGTCACCAAAGGTAACTTAGGCTCCACTTCTAAGAATATTCTCTGGGCCATAGTCTACAACTATGCCACATTTCATGTTTGTATGTATAAGTCTACAATTCTTACACATATCTACCTCACTATTTTAAATATTCTGAATTAATTCATATTTTCAATATCTATATTGTAGTTTTGTAGTTGAGACCTCATTGTCCAAGATTGAGACCTGAGGGGTTGAGACCAAGACTGAAACCTTGTAATAAATTACATAATGAAAAATAAAGCAAGAAGAATAAAAATCACATGCATCAAACAAATTTTATTAACATCTTAACTACAGATCTTTTACACGTTAACCCCACAGTCTTTGTTTTAACATCTCCTCCTATAAAAAAAAAGGAATGAATCACAAAAATCAAAAAGGTGAGCAAATAAAACTAAAACCAGTATTGGTGTCAGTAAATTCTTTATGACCTTTGAAGCCAAAGAGGATTACAGCAGATCTACTAGACATGCTGAATATCAGGGATAATTGCTAATGGTTGATGTAAATACACGCACCAAATGATGTACGTACAAACTTGTAGTAAGCCTAAGCGTAATGCAATGTATAGTAGCAGTTAGTTTTAAATAGTGCATGTTATAATCGTGAATTGATGCACAGGCAATATGGCAGTTGGTGATGTAAACAAAAATAATGGACGCATTATAAACATCATTGCAAAGGTGTAGTATCAAGGAGGTTTTACTAGTAAAACATCTTTGATGCTATACCGTGCCTTGTGTGAACTGCAGCATAATCGATATTTAGCACTTAATAATCCTGGGTAGGTGAGTGGTCTAATACTTGTTAAAACTTTTGAATTTAGCTGGTCTTGTTTTCATAACATTTAATGCATTGCTTTTATCATCTTAATGTGTGCTTGATTTTTTACTTGAGTGATAATAGTTTGCCAGCCAAGTGGAAATTTTTTTCTCAAACCTTAGTTTAATATTATACACTATTTTTTAAAGGATTCATTATTTCCAGTTCTTACATTCATAGAAACTGCCTGAGGACACTACATAACTGTTGAACATTTTGAAGTACGATCAATTATTACCTTCTGTTATCATCTTTGAACAGGAGTAAGAAAGAACAAATTTGTTAGTTAATAATAATTTCAAATGATTTGCCAAAAAATATTACATTATGGAAAATGTTGTAAAAACTAAATATAAGTAATTCAATGTTCATGAGCTCTGATGAAATGAGGGTTACTGAAGCTAAGTCAACATTAAAAAGGTCTACTGTAGAAATTGGTGTCAGTCAGTCACACTTCACAAGGAATCTTTTGCATATCATTGGTGGTTTGACAATCCTATTTGTAATACATTGACCAGTAAGTGGTACTGTAAAGAACTTTGCCAACAATTTCAGAATCTACATTAAACACTAGATCGCCACAGGTGGTGTTCACCTTGTATATGATAGGTACAAAGACTTCAGCACAAAGAGTGTGACGAAATCCAGCAAGAAACAGTTGGTTGATATTTTTTGTAATGAATTCACTCAAGATGAGGTCTTTCATCATAGTTTCACACATAACTACAAGCTAGTTATCATATGTAATGACAACAATCCAGTTCAAATGAATAGAGGTCTGACAATCCACACAGATGATATTTCCACCTCTCCTGAAGCAGATGACAACATACTTCTACAAACAATGATAATGGTAGGAAAAGAAAAGCCTGTGAAATAATGGTGCTCTCAGATGACGTATACATATTTTTTCCTGTGTTTATATCTATGGAAGTTGTGGAATTGCCAGTCCAACAGAGAGCTGGATAATGCTGAAGTTCAGTGCCTTGCAGCAAAAAAACCACAAGCCTATGTTGAAAATATAAAGAGGACCAATTTTGGAAACATGCTCTTGATTCAAACCCACCACTACTTGATTCATTAGTGTATGGATGGGTATGTGATGACAGTTCCAAGTCTTTATTGCCTACAAGTGTACCAATGAATGTTGCACTTCACAACTTTTAAAGTTAATAAAGCTCCTTTGTGAGAACAAATGTACCATGTAAGTTTATGAGATATTGTTGTAATAACCATGTAATGCCATGTTGTGTATTATTTTCATATCTTGGAGGATTTGGCTGCTGCAGTAGCCTGACAAAATAGCTTTAAACTTAACTGAAGAAGATACAGATAACTGAAACATTTTACCCTTTACCTTGACATACAAACACGTGGGTGTTAAAAAATAGTGATAACACATCAATGTAATAATGCATGAATGATTAAAGAATTGATAGATATAAAAAACTGACTAGTTTTGACCGGAGAAGTTTTGAGAACAGCACAGACAGCTTCATCCTGATATTTTAAAAGCCATTATTTATTATAGCTGTTTAACTACTGCAAATATACACCTGGAAAAAAGTTAAGCACCCCCGTGTTTTTTTCAAGTGCTTCAGATTCGACGTTCTTGTGACTGATTATAAATTACCATTCAATCTAAACGTGTTTATCAAATGAAATTATGCATTATT